CTCACACATGCATTTCATAGGTATCTTGATATTTTACAAAACATTATTTTCACAGAGTAAGTAGACTACATTTGTAAACACGATTTAATCGACAGAGCGAAACTCCCTCAGCTTATGAACTCGTGTAAGCACGTGATATGCACATATGAGGTTGGTACGTCCGCATTCCATGTGTCTCCTATATGACCTTCTTGAGGTCGTCTGGTCTCATGTCACTGTCTTCCCGTGAGTCTGTTTATGTCAATGAATTGGAAAGCTTTATTCCTGAAGTATGTGTGATTATACATTTCCAGGTAAAATCTCGATATCGGGTGTTGACATATCATCGGCATGCACGTGTACTATTGTTTACCAGGGGCCTGTTCGTTTATGCGGACCAACCGGTTTGACGGTTTATAAATGTAACAATTTCGGGTATAAATCCTGGCGGACCTGCAAATGTGTATGCAAGCCTTGCAAGGCTCGCATGAAAGCAGCATCATATTACTAGGTGCTTCCATATTTAATAAACGAACAACAGTGGTCCGATCGGTTTGACCGTTTAAAAGCAAACGGCCCAGGTGTTATTATAATTTGCACTACGATATTGAATGCCCGATACGCAATACGGAAATGACGACACGGTGTACATGCACATTTCGATCAAGATAATTGAGTCCGAGCTGTACTTTTTCCGGAAGTACGTCACGAAAATGGACGCTGATGACGATGTGTGGAGCCACCTTAAGGAAGACCCAACTTCATATCATGATTATAATGTATACTAAGTTTCAAAGAGATCGGTCGAAAAATGTAGGAGGAGACTAACAAAAGTTTACGCCGGCCGGACAACACCATACCATAATACTCCTGTCAAATTTGACGGGCGTATAAAAACTAGATGAAAACCTGTCATTCATTAAGCAAATATGACCTGGTTACCATGGCAGCCAAAATTGAAAACACAAATAAATGTTTACATAATAGTACTGGGGAAGTATTCAAAATTAAAGAAACATTCGTTTGAAAGTTCTATAGCAAATTTTTAATTTTGACAGATTTGGGGGCCAAAAAGGGCCCAAACCATACATAGTCCTTTGAAATTTCTAAAAAAAAAAATAGGTATAAATTATATAATAAAATAAAATATGAATCCATCAAATTATACTTTTGCAACAAGAGGAACATAGGCTGTGATTGTCACCTTAGTGGTATTTATCAGCCTTAACAGTTACCAGAGTTGTAGATGAGTTAGTAATGAAATGAACACAACTACATGATAAAAGTATCTACACAAGAAGACTATCTGATTGTAGCATTTCTGGTTTAATGAAGTCAGATTACAGATAAATCAACCCATTAGAACTTGAGTTTAAGTTTGAAATAGGTTTTAAGATGGTGTCATAACCGCACTCTGTTAGGACCATCAGATAGAATCCCCAACAAGTTAAATTTGGCACTGAAGTTTAAAATTGTTTTTAAAATAGTGGTTTGGGCAGTCATAATAGTTTTCTGATCAATCCAAAAAATAACAACACTTCCCTCAGCACATAATTTGATATTTAAAATGAACAAAGGACCACAACCCTGCTTAAAATAAACACAAGACCTGATTTCACTGTAATACTTGGCGATTCCAAGAGGTTCTTTGCATACAAAATTTGGCATTCACAGAAGACGGAGAATATGAGATATGTCTAGAGTGAATGACAGACGGACTGACTGAATAGTGAAAACATATAGTCAACAGCAGTAGTAACAGTGAGGAAATATAACTAATAATTACAGACCTGAAATCATGGCTTATCACAGTAGAATAACAAAGTTCTACCACCCAGTGATGGCACTTCCTTGTTATTACAAGCAAGAGCTACGGGTAACGTACCTGGTCTGTTACATCGTACACTACTATAATACCATGGGCACCTCGGTAGTAGCTGGATGTAATTGTTCGGAATCTTTCTTGACCTGCTGTGTCCCACTGTTGAAAAAATAATTTATCAAAATTTAAAAACACGAAGAACACAAATTGTTGACAAAGGTAATAATTGCCTACAACGCCTTTTTAACGAAATATGTACCTGTAAATATAGCTGATGATTTCAAATTGACCATTGGATGTCTGGCCATAAAAGAGTTTCCTTTATTTTCCCCTTTGCCCCAAGGAGGTCAAACCCTTCATTTACACAAAATTAAGTCCAATTTTCCTATAGATGATCTAGAGCAAACTTTGTGATAATCCTTCTAAATCTAGTCATACAGAAGGAGCAAGCTTTTAAAAGATTTACCTCTATTTCCCCTATTGGGCTCTGTCCCATCCACTGCTCCCAGGGGGACAAACATCCTCTTTCCCTAATGATGCTCTAGATCCCATTTCGTTCAAATCTCTTCATTCATACAGAAGGAGAATGCCTTTACTCTATTTCCCTCCACTGGTTTAGAGGGAGAATATTTTTGAAGATGAACCCCTTTTCCCCTACTGTGCCATACAAGTATGCCCCAAAAGAGGACCATAACCTCTGCTTATACAAATTAAGAACATTTTGGCCAAGGATGCTCGAAACCAAATTTGGTCACTAGTGATGTAAAGGAAAAAGTTCACGGACGATAGACAATGCACTAACAGCATACAAATCTACATCCTAGCAGCTTTATGTTATGACTTTGCCTGATGAGTGACTTTTAGTTTGGTTGGTATCTGCCAAGTGCTCCTCATAAACAGTTGGTAAATGAGAAAATGAATTTTCACCGGTTTTATTATACTTACAATCTGTAACTTGATTGTTTTTCCATCTAGTTCTATTGTTCGTATTTTCTGAAACAAAAAAAGTTTCCATTACTAACGGCTATATAATTTTGTTCTATCTTTTAATTTCTAAATTAGAAAATTTGACATTTAACACTGAAAAACACTCCCAATCCATCTAATTTTTGATGAAACTCTCTGAAGCCTGTTTAAAAATCCGAAGTAATTACAAGTATTTCTGTTTTTAAATATTTGTGTTCACACAAGAACTGTGTTATTATATACTTATTACAGTTTACAAAGGCATCCATACATTTGAAAATGCTTTACTTTGCCAAACATTTTGTTTATCGTTGTTAAGAAATCTGCACTTGTACTTACGAAATCTACACCAATTGTACTGATGTAACTTTCTGTGTAGGTGTCATCCTGCAACGGAAAAGTTCAATAGTAAGCATAACTGAAAGAAACTGCCATCATTTTAAATACAAAAATTCTGAGATATTCCTACTACAAAAATTCCATAAACGTTGATGTGTTGCCTGCCCAAGCTTGACCTACGATAAAATTTGCAATGCATAATATTATCTGCTCATCATGATGTACATTTTTATTACAATTTACTGCATACAATTTCAAGATTTTTCTTTTGGCCTTACAGCTGTCACTCCTCTCTACACGAGTCCGAATTTTATTATACTAGTGTATCAATATATAACATGAACAGAGGATGAATATGTATTACCAATTTGTATTATTGTTGTCATAAATGATAAATAAACAGAATACATACAGCAAATCGTAAAAGTAGACAGGACTTTCCAACACCTGAGTCTCCAATCAGCAGAAGTTTAAACAAGTAGTCACTGAAAACAGAAAAAGTGAGATTTAGCAAATACTTGTACAAGTTCGCACAAAAACCACTGAACAATTAGTCTCTGTTTACCTTACCCAATTAACATCCAGTTTGTTCCCACTGTCGACTGAAGTGTAATTTAATTCTAGCTTGCTATATCATAGTAATGGCTGACAATAAGAGATAAACCTCTTAGTGTTTCAACAACTAATTATAATTTGATCTGAAATTAGCTCGGACACAATACTGAGGATCTCTACTATATTTCCAGTTCATGATGTTGGAATTGGAATGAATTTGATATTCATTAACCCTATGCTCATGTTTATCCAAATCATTTGCCTTAAATTTTTGTGAAATTTTGTTATTCCTTGAGGGGCGACAGGTTATAATACGTTACATATCAACAATTTATGTGGCGCTATTAATTACACCACAGACTACATAAACTTGATAAAGTTGTAAATTGTGATTTCAGAACAAATGTTACAGTTCTTCTATATAGTTCCGTTCGTTATAGTTATACATGAACCAAAACTTACAATATGTACTTACAGACTTCGAGAATATGAATACTCTGAGGAAGGATAAAGTCCCATATCTTCTTATTCACAAATTGGCAATTGTAATACTACAGCCTTATTTAGCAGAACTGCGTTCTGATTATACATTGTACACTGTATTAGTTGAAAACATTTCAGTGTTATCAGTTAGAATTATATAGGGTATGATAATATCTGATGACATGGCATTTCAATGACAAAGAATCTATATATAACTATGATATTTAATAATCAATTGCATTTGACCATGGAAAATACCAATATTCAGCATGAAGAAAGTAGTCCATGAGAAAAAAGAATATTGAGTATAGCTCATTGCTTGCATCACAAAATGATCTTAAATGAAAAGAGAAAAAAGCCCTGCATGTGCCTTCTTTAGGATGGAAACTCCAGACTATCCAAAATTGACTCGTATTTGCAGGACTTCTTTGTATGTTATGGTTCATTGTACTTCACCTGTACTTTCACTTTTCTAGGCTCTAAACAAATTACTGGTAAATATTTTTTGGGGGATTTCACCTTTGTTACAGAAAATCGCTAAACATATAATGTTCATTATAAATAACTTTCGGTTATTTACCTTTTAGCTGCTTCTTATCTAACTCTAAGTTTGGATGCTCCGGGACCCAATCATAAATGGTTTTGTTAGAGGGAATAGTAAAATAATTTTGAAAAATGAGTGTTGATTGTAGAGGATGATTGCAAATTAAAGTTTGAAGGTTTTAGAATCTGTTGAAGACACCAGTATCCTGTGGGTCAGACCCGGATTTGGAGGCATATAAAGTACACTTTGTTTTCTGACAGATATGTTGTAACCTGCATTTTAGTAGATGGTGATTTGCATCGATTGGTTGTTTGATATGCAAAAACATTTTTACTGGTTATCATCCACACCAGAGTTTTAAAAACTTAACAGATCTGTAGTTTTGAACAGTTTTGTAGTTTTAATCCATTAATGTCTGGGTTTTTTGCATTGCATGGAAGGAGCCTACTACTTTGTCTATTACTGCTGTAAACTGTTTCTGTCCATAGACACACAACTGTCAAAATTGTTGCAAGATAAAGCCTTTTGTAGACCCTTAAATTATCATTTATCAAAATAATTATTTTTGTGCATGTATATATCTTGCCAAACAAGTTTATTTTCATGTGCGATTGGTTTAGGTATACATGACTCATGATGGGGAACACTGTTGAAGATTAACAATTTGACCTAGAACGGTTTTGAAGGGAATAATTATCTAAACTCCAACTATCAAAAATAGTTCCCATATGATTTACATTAACATCATTTTTGCAGGGTTACATCATGATCATGACATTTGTGTATTCAGTCTTGAACCATTGTGTAATTAAACACTCAGTCACTATCCATAACAATAGAGATGACTCTCTACAGGTTAAGTGACAGGTCTATTGTTTGTCAGAGAGCCAAGTGCCGGTTGACTAATGATTATATGGTTTAATTGCGACTTTTACAAAACAATATATATTGCTTGTTATATTTATATCAATGTGACGATGCAAGTGTGACAGAACTAGGGGAAATGTCTTTTAAGAAAATGTCACAAAAGTAGACATGATATTAAGTGGTATATACTATATATTTTGTATATGGTATTCGACCTATCTTATTTTACATGTAGAACATAAAAAATACTCAAAATGGTGACAGATTTAGTGATACAACGTAATTAGTCCTAGGGGGTGTTACTGTACTGTCTGAAGTATACGCACACAGATGACTTGCAAAGTAATAGTCAAATAAAACATGAATGAATGGTCTAAACATGCATTTTATATCAGGAAAATAGTAAGATTTTTACGACAGGGAAATATTTTCAGTCGTCAAACGCCCAATCGTCATATTCTACGCAGATATCCGCGATCATATAACCTATCAGCATGACCAGACACTACTGTAATGAACACGTCAAGACATGGCAACATGTACGGTTACTTATAGACAAGATAGATAACAAAACGCCATTTGAACACAAACATGTTAAGAAATCACAAAACTATGACACATAAGGTCAAAAAAGGGAGATTTCAAGGGTAGAAAACACATGCGATGCACTGACAGCTGACTGGAAAGTATGACTGAGAGTCGCCATTGGCAATCGTACGTGATGACGTATCAATTTTCCTAGGCAATATTTGTATTATTTTCTCATACTTACTACTCGGGATTCATTGTGGACATACTCTAGTGACCGAGAATGTGAATTAGAACGATCAGAATCCCTTGTATGTGCTGAAATGAAGAGAAATTAGCACCCTATCACGATAGGCTTTGAACCAAAATGGCTTCCTTCTTCCGATTTTTGCGACTGCTCAGTGAGGGGTGGGCATATTTTGCATATGACGTCATTGCCCAACGTGGCATCACGAGATCTCGACTTCCGGTTTGAGTTAGTTTGTGAAATCAGTGTTTTTATTCTGTAATCATACACAGGTCAAAGTACATAAATAAAATGCACAATAACATAGTGACAGTGAAAAGAACACTGGTGTATCGTATGTTAATATAAAAGTGTATGATTTAAAGAGAAAAAATAGTAGTTTTAATTGTGTTGTCACCAGTTAAAATTAATAATCTAATGATATAAACTTTTTTATTTAACAACAATTATGAAACAAGTTATTTCAACTTATATATTATATTAATCACTCCTATTGGCCCGGATGTTAGCGTGTGTGTGTGTGGGGGGGGGGGGGGGGGGGTCATAATTAGTGTGGAAACCGGATCCGGAGTACCCGGGAAAAAATCACGTAGTCGGGCAAGTTACCCCAACCTTTTCACGTCCGATCGGGGAATCGAACCCCGGTCGCCTTGGTGAAAGGCATGTGCGCTTTCCACTGCAACACCCGACCACCCATAATAATATAATAGGAAAATAGGCAAGCTACGAAATTGAAATGTGCGATAGTTTGCAAAACTGACTAACTGAATTGCTAAATTGCTGATGTGGCATCGTTGAAAGCTAGTTCAAGCTTGTGGTGATGCATCATTGTTATTTCGTTCACACGCGACTTACTTTTCCGGTTGCGCACTTATTATTTCCTTAATCACAATAGTGTAGCAATGTCTATAGTAATAATGGGATTTTTTTAAAACAATTCCACTCGTTTGTTCACATACATATAGATAAAAGGGTTGAGCCCTTCCGTAGTGGAGTTTGCATAAAAAGAACCTCAAACACCATATGTTTTTAGTTGAGTCACTTGATGTTAAGCATGGTATTGGAATGGTAGATCCAGTTTTAATACCAAAATGAGGGGTTAAATTTCCTCGGGTGATTTTTCCAGAACTTGTTTAGTCTTTCCTTGAAGCAGTTTAGGCTCGGTGATGAGACCACTTGCTCAGGCAACGAGTTCCACGGTTTAATAATGCGGTTGCTAAAGAAGTTTCATGTGATCAGCTTTTTGTAGGGCCTTTTAAACAGCTTCTTGGAGTGCCCCTTTGTAGATCTGTATTCGCAGTGTTGGAATAGTTTACCCTTATCAAGTTTGTCGATGTTATTGAGGATTCTGTACACTTTGATCATGTTTGCTCTCTCCCTCCTGTATTCCAGGGTTGGTAAACCGAGAATTCTTAAACGTTCAGTGTATGATTTGTAAGTTAGTGTTGGTACTCTTTTCCTTGTTCTTCGCTGGACTTTTTCAATTGTAATTTTGTCCTTGGTATGCTGAATGCCAAAGCATATATCATAAAAATTAAAATCTGCTAAATAAAACTCAGCATTTGATTCAAAATAGTGTATACATCGTATATATATCGTAATAATAGCGCTACAGAGCTAATGTTTCCATTACAACATATACGACTCTAAATAAAAATTCGTGTATTATCCACATTAGCTCGGTAGAGCTATTTCTGCGACAAACATGGGTATAATTATGAAACAAACAAAAACATGGCGTGCAAATAAAGATAGGCCAACATGGATATGAAATATAGATGAACTAATAAAATACACTACAGTTATATAAGATCGGTTGGTGTAAATATAACAATATATCTACAGGCACTAAAAGATTTAATGCTATAGGTATGGAGTGTGTCACAGGACAGGTGGTTGGGCCAGTTCCTACCTTCCTAGCCCTATAACATCAAAGCAAATTAGGTTATATAAAATTTACTAATCGCTTAGTATAATATCACTAGATTTCTAACAATTATCACAGCATTACGGGACTAAATTACAAAGTGGTAATACATGCGTTTTAAACGGATTTTTGATATCCATACAACTTTTAAATACGGTTTGGCATTTCGGACTGATGTGTAAAACTACCCATTTTGGCGTCGATGAGTCATATTTAAGACTTAATTAAGACGTCGTGCAATGCCTACACAAAATGAAAAGCGCGGTACCGCTTGAAGAAGTAACGCCTAACTGGTTCAACGTCAAATCTGGGGTGACGAAAGGAGGGATATTATCCACATTTTATACAAGATATTTTTAACGGATACTTATAAAAGCTAGAAGCCAGTACAATTGGTGTTTAGGCATATGAAATATTCATTGAATTTGAAAACTGTGTATCCCATCGATCAACTTATATTAATCACTCTTGTTGGCCCGGATGTTAGCACGCGGGGGTCTTAGTGTGGGAGGAAACCGAAGTACCCGGAGAAAACCGACGTGATCGGGCTGGTGACTAAGTAGTTTTTCACGTCCGATCGGGGAATCGAACCCCGGCCGCCTTGGTGAAAGGCAAGTATGCTATCCACTGCACCACCCGACCACCCAATAATACATTATTGACGTGACATTGGGTGATCGGGTGGCGCAGTAGATAGCTCACTCCTATTTCACTAAACGACCGGGGTTCAATTCCGGATCGCAACGTGAAAAGGTTAAGGTAAGATAACAGTGAGGCTAACCCCCATGGTGTGAGGATAGGGGGGTATCGATCGTCGGGAGGTATTCTGATGTTGCTGAACACTCGGGAAGCGTAATGTTTGTCAACTTAAGAGTAGTCTCCTCGGGTTCAGATCTCCTATCTTATCACAAGGTGATAAAATATTCTATTGGTTAATCACACAAAGTTTAATGACCTTTACTTTGTGACGCCACAAACGAAATCCCGTCAAAACATCATTTGATTATGACGATCTTCAGGGGCGTTTCTAGGATATTTGAAAGAGAATCAAATCTTTTTGTACCTTTTTTTTTTGCTAAAAAACATAAAATAATTTTGAAATGCACTAATTATGTAACGGTTCCTGACTTAGGTTGGCGTTCGTTGCCGATCAGGCATAGGTACCTGTCCTGCAGTGTCGTCATCGCGTTGCACGTCTTGTTTGGTGCTGGATACATCCCATTTTACTTGACCTGATTTGGCGTGTATCTTCTCAGACGAGTTTCGATTCCACTTGGACAGTAGTTACGGCCGTACAAGAGTGTACCGTCGCGATGGAAAGCGTTCTCAAGACAACTGTTTCATTGAACGTCGTCCACTCGGCGGAAGTAGTGTGGTGGTCTAGGGAGGCATAACAGCGAATGCCAGAACGTCATTGATAGCAATAAGATCAGTGTACGCTATCGCGATGAGATCCTGCAACCCATCACGAACAAGTACACGTCGCACGCGGTGTGACGGATTTCAGGACTCATCAGAATGGGGTGAGATTTCTATTGTGTTATTTCGCATCTGCATTCCCCAGACATTTTTAAACAATCTTGTTGGATTCATATGTCGTTGGTGCAATGCGTGCATTACTGCTATCGCTGGACATATCCAATATTGATAATTTGAACTGACTCGGGATACACTATGTATTTGTTGTACCCTCGCGATAAAATGGGTGTTCTTTTGACAATTTTTACAGTTTTAAAAAAATGTTACTAAACGTTTTAAATTCTATTTTTTTCTAAAATCACACAAGAGTTTGCTGAGGTGAAGGTTTTCAAAATGATTTTGTTATTCGGTTCCCGAAAATTTGGATCTAATTTAAAAATTACAGACAGTAACTGTTTTTAAAACTACAACAGAGCCATGAGGCCTAGCGTCATGTTGTTTGGCTGACAGATCTCTCCGAAAGAGCCATGAGGCCTAGAGTCGCGTTGTTTGGCTGACAGATCTCTCCGAAAGAGCCATAAGGCACAGAGTCGCGTTGTTTGGCTAACAGATCTCTCCGAAAGAGCCATGAGGCCTAGAGTCATGTTGTTTGGCTGTATCTTAATTGGGGATGAGTGCTTTCTTTGTTCTATTACCCTATATTCAAGGTTTCAGAAGTCAGCAGTGTACACAAATTCAATTGATTTGGTTCTTAAGAACCATAAGGTCGGAAGCATTCAATGAATTCTCAAATAATTCTTTCCTGCATCGTGTGATTATCAATATACCTATATCATATGTACACGAACGGGTTGTCGGGTGGGGTTCGATACCGGGCGTGAAAATGCACGGAGTCACCTGCCCCACCACGTGGGTTTTCTCAGGGGCCTTCGGTTTCATCCCCCATTAAGAACCCCGCGCGCTAACAAGAGTTACTGATTAATATAATAAATTGATATAATTTGTTTCATGATTGTTGTAAAATTAAGTTTATATTTTGAACTGAACTCCGGATGTCCTCAAATTGTTGAGTATTACAGGCCATATGTACTTCTTACTTGTGATGGGGAGGAGCCAATCAAGTGACAGGCACCTGTGAATTAGAAAGCAACCCGACCACAGCATTTTGATGTGTTTATTTCACTTCAGTAAGTAGGTTAATAGCCATTTCTCAAAGTGAACTTTCATGCATATTCAATACGAGTCTACACACCGATCCAGTTTGTCTATAAGTGTATTGGACACAGTAACAGGTGTTGTCGGATTACACACGTGTTCATTGATCTGGCCTTGGGGTTCGTTCAAATTCACAAAACCCAAGTAGGTTTAGTTAGGGGAATCATAGTGCGAAAGGTTTATAAACGTTTTTTTACTCGCTATTTTTATCAGAATAACTTGTTGCAATTATGAGGTTCGATTAATTTGTTAAACAAAGTTGCAATACATACAAAAAATGTATGTCACAATATTTCTTCATGGAATGATAAGCAGCTGTAATGTACAACATTACACAGGACGGTAAACCATAATGTATCATTGGTAAACTACCGTATTTCTCATGGAATTTCGAATTTTTAATACTTCGTCAATATCGCTTTACTAAACACATTTGTAATTAACATAAAACAATAGGTCAAAGGGCCTTAACAGTTCACATGGAATTTTATTTTCAATTTAAATCGTGTTGAATATCATATACGTTTATCAAAAGAGTACTGAAAATATGAGTTGTAATAAGAATAAATTGCCTGGGGTTGGAAAGACAACAAAAGCACCAGCAATTTTGTAAATGGTTATGTGATGGGGATCTCAACCTTTTCCATGTTATGACTCCGGAACTCAGTACCTAAGAGTGGGACCGGACTCAAGAAGGAACCATGGTAGCATATATTATTTCAACTGTTGCCTGTTTTGACTCATGAAGTATAGGTAAGTCCCAATGGATGAGGCCAGACCCAAGAGCCAGTCATAGTAGCAAGTGTCTTCATGCCTTTAATTGTATACAAGTTCTTAGGTAGGGATTTGAACTATTTCCATGCAATGACCTCGGGAATAAGTACCCAGGGGCAAGGCCAGATCTAGGGCAAGTCTAGTAGCACGAGAAATAAGTGCATTTCTCTTCATGCCTGGTAATTGCATATGTGGTCACAGGCTGGACGGTTCTGAACTGTTTCCAAGTTATGACATTGGGAGTAATCTCAGGACTGAGTTGGACCCATTTCAGACCAAATATGGTATGAATCTGTGCAGTTGTTCAAGAGTAGTAGGATGTTAAAAAGGAAAAGGTCTAATTTCTTCCTATTATGCCACGCGTCCCTGGTCCCAGGCATTGTACAAACTTCTTTTTACAAAATTTGATCACCTTGCCCCAGCCAAGTTTCAGACTAACCATGGTAACAATTTGTGAATTCATAGGAGAAGTAGTCTTGCCTTACTGCTCCACAGCCTTCTATTATAAAAGTTTAATTCTATTGTCCCAAGGACGCAACATAACAAATTTGGTGGAGATCTGTACATTTCTAATGCTTGGGGAAATCAAAAGGCCCTCTGGGCCTCTTTCGCTCACCTGGATATTTAAGCAGTCAAAGCAAACTATTAAATAAATATTATAGTATACTACCTTGTTTTATCTGTGATTTAGACAATACCTGTGACAATGAGGACACAGGTGACCTTGTTTTATCTGTGGCTTAAGACAATACTTGTGACCTACCTTACCAGTGACTACCCAAGAAGCAACCAGCCAAATAATATGATTCTATGCATTTTCGATTATTCAGAGGAAGTTGTTTGATAAGTTTTACATATTTGACCCCAGTGACCTTGAACATGAGTCAATGTCATTTTTGTTCTCAATTGTTTGGGATTTTACCAACGAAGCTACCAGCCACATATTAAGTTCTATACCTTTCAGTTCTGACACATTTGACCCCTGTGACCTTGAAAGTAGGTCAAGGTCATTTTTCGTTCTCAAACTTGGATGGGCTTTTAACAATGAAGCTACCAGCCACATATTAAGATTCTATACCTTTCAGTTCTTCAGAAGTTGTTTTAAGTATTTGACACTTTTGACCCGTGACCTTGAAAGTAGGTCAAGGTCATTTTTGTTCTCCAACTATGTTGAGCTCTAACAAACAAAGCTATCACCCAAATATCATGTTTCTAGGCCAGTCCATTCTTCAGAAGAAGTTGTTCAAAGGAAAAGTTGCGGACGACGGACGGACGACAGACGCCACACCATTGCATAAGCTCAATAGCCCTTTGGGCTAACAAAATGAGAAGATAAGCTGAAAACATGTTTTTTTTGTTTTGCATTTTTATTTGATTAAGAATAAATAGGTTAACAGTCTATGTCTTTGGTGCTCCAAAAGCATCTGGCATTCTTTCTATGGTGTACCTGAAAAAAAAATCAATTCTATAACTGTTTGAAAATGTATGTAGAATTGTCTTCAATTCTGTGTGTTTTAAGTAGTCAACTATGAAATTTTAACAGTAGAGATAACAACCTCCATTTGAAGATTATTTCTTGCAAATGGCATTCAAAATACAAAACACAATTTTCTAATGTGGAGCTTGAAATATATCAGTGGCATCAATTTTTAAAACATGTGAGAATTGAAAGTTCCAAACAAGCCATTTACATCATAAATTGACATGTCGATATATCAGTGATGGGGAACCTCATATCTAATAAATAAAAGTCACTTTAAAAGTGTTTTAAGATGGAATTATTTGATGTTCACAAACGAAGTTATAACTGCTTAATTTTTTACATCAGTTTGTAAACTTGAAAAGCACACAAATTTAAATGGTACTTGCCAGTTTTCAAACAAAGCTTATATACACCAATGTTTTATGCTGTTGATTGTGAAAATGGAAAAGGAAGCAAAAAGGAAAAGGAAGCAAACATCTTTCTACAGCTTATCTGATTTGTGTTTGTTTAACATGCAATTAAAATATTTGCCACTATGTAATTAACAGTCTGTTTCAAAAATCCTACAACAGTATCAATGCTACCAGGGAAATCAAACACAGGTAAGTGTTCAGGAAAATGTTTAACTAGGAACCTTCCTTACTTGTAATGATAATGTGACATTTCTCACCTGTGACAATGAGGACACATGTAACCATGTTTTATCTGTGACTAAAACAATACCTGTGACCTACCTTACCTGTGACAATGAGGACACATGTAACCATGTTTTATCTGTGACTAAAACAATTCCTGTGACCTACCTTACCTGTGACAATGAGGACACATGCGACCTTGTTTTATCTGTGATTTAGACAATACCTGGGATCTACCTTACCTGTGACAATGAGGACACATGCGACCTTGTTTTATCTGTGATTTAGACAATTCCTGTGATCTACCTTACCTGTGACAATGAGGACACATGTGAACATGTTTTATCTGTGATTTAGACAATACCTGTGATCTACCTTACCTGTGACAATGAGGACACATGTGACTATGTTTTATCTGTGATTTAGACAATACCTGTGATCTACCTTACCAGTGACAATGAGGACACAGGTGACCTTGTTTTATCTGTGGCTTAAGACAATACCTGTGACCTACCTTACCTGTGACAATAAGGACACATGTGACCATGTTTTATCTGTGATTTAGACAATACCTATGACCTACCTTACCAGTGACAATGAGGACACATGTGACCTTGTTTTATCTGTGATTTAGACAATACCTGTGACCTACCTTACCAGTGACAATGAGGACACATGTGACCATGTTTTATCTGTGATTTAGACAATACCTGTAACCTACCTTACCTGTGACAATAAGGACACATGTGACCATGTTTTATCTGTGATTTAGACAATACCTGTGACCTACCTTACCAGTGACAATGAGGACAATGAGGACACAGGTGACCTTGTTTTATCTGTGGCTTAAGACAATACCTGTGACCTACCTTACCTGTGACATTGAGGACACATGTGACCATGTTTTATCTGTAACTAAAACAATACCTGTGAGCTTTATTACCGGTTAGTTTTTTTTACCTGTGACAATGAGGAAACAGGTGACCTTGTTTTATCTGTGACTTAGAGAATACCTGTGACCTACCTTACCTGTGACAATGAGGACACATGTGACCATGTTTTATCTGTAACTAAAACAATACCTGTGAGCTTTATTACAGGTTAGCTTTTTTTACCTGTGACAATGAGGAAACAGGTGACCTTGTTTTATCTGTGACTTAGAGAATACCTGTGACCTACCTTACCTGTAACAATGATGACACATGTGACTTTGTTCTATCTGTGACTAAGAGAATACCTGTGACCTACCTTACCTGTGACAATGAGAACACATGTGACATTGTTTATCTGTGACTAAAACAATACCTGTGACATTGATGACACATGTGACCTTGTTTTATCTGTGACTAAGACAACACCTGTGACTTTCTTACCTGCGCTGCTGTAGGAACATGAGGGGAACACCTGGGATTTTCCTTATCCTCCTCTTTAGATCTTTATCGCATGTTGCTACTATGTAACATTTGTGCTGGAAAAAAATGAAATGGTTATAATCAATTTTTTTAAGTCCGAGGTGCATATTCATACTCCTAAAAGTAGCACTAATTTGAATGGAATGTGCACGGTCTTAGAAAACTTATTTATACAAAGTTAGGCATTTGCCAATTCATATGCCTATTCCAGGTATATGTAAATACTAAGACAGAAGGGTTAGACAGGGGCACTTGCCATTGATATGCGATGGTATGATTTATGTGGTCCCAAAGAAAATAATTGTGGGTAGTGGAGTTAAAAAAAGTGCCTCTCTACCCCTTTCCCACCATATCTTTATTTTTGGAATAGCCATTAATACAAAATCAAAGAAAAATAAGTAAATAAATAAATAAATGAATTACACCCATTAAGTCCTTATAAAAAGGAACAAGTGGAAAAAAGGTAGAAGTTCTTTCTCAGATAAAAGATTCATATACAATGTACATGTATTGCATTTTGAAACATTTGGTACAATTTCATTAGAAAACCAAAAACATCTAAGGAATTATTAATTCAAACATTTTATTTTCTTGATCATGTGTCAAATCAAGCTGGAAATATCAATAAACCCTATGGTGGTTTGTTACATCTAGCTTAGGACCATACTACTCAAGTGTTATAGCTTTCTTGTAAATTATCCGACACATTATGTGAAATTAATAAGTAGTTTAATAACAACTCAATAATCAACAGGTACAGGAATACTGCTTACCTATGTAATCCTCTGTACCAGACAGCAGATACAGGTGATATCACTTACCTGGGTTATCCTCTGTAACAGACAGTAGATACAGGTGATATCACTTACCTGTGTTAGCCTCTGTACCAGACAGTAGATACAGGTGATATCACTTACCTGTGTTAGCCTCTGTACCAGACAGTAGATACAGGTGATATCACTTACCTATGTAATCCTCTGTACCAGACAGTAGATACAGATGATATCACTTACCTATGTTATCCTCTGTACCAGACAGTAGATACAAGTGACATTACTTACCTGTGTTATCCTCTGTACCAGGCAGTAGATACAGGTGATTTTACTAACCTGTGTTATCCTCTGTACCAGACAGCAGATACAAGTCACATTACTTACCTGTGTTATATCACTTACCTATGTTATCCTCTGTCCCAGACAGGAGAGAAAGGGGACAATTCTTTCCTGTGTTATCCTCTGTCCCAGACAGTAGATACAGATAATATTACTTACCTGTGTTATATCACTTACCTATGTAATCCTTTGTACCAGACAGTAGATAAGGGGATATCACTTACCTATGTAATCCTTTGTACCAGACAGCAGATACAAGTCACATTACTTACCTGTAATCCTCTGTACCAGACATTAGATACAGGTGATATTACTCCCCTATGTTATCCTCTGTATCAGAACCAGACAGTAGATACAAGTGACATTACTTACCTGTGTTATATCACTTACCTATGTAATCCTCTGTACCGGACAGAAGATAAAGGGGACATTATTTACCTGTGTTATCCTCTGTGCCAGACAGTAGATAAAGGGGGCGTTATCCTCTGTACCAGAAAGTAGATACAGGTGATATCACTTGCCTATGTTATCCTCTGTCCCAGACAGTAGATAAAGGGGGCGTTATCCTCTGTACCAGAAAGTAGATACAGATAATATTACTTACCTGTGTTATCTTCTGTACCAGACAGTAGGTACAGGTGATATCAGTTACCTGTGTTATCCTCTGTACAAGACAGCAGATACAAGTGACATTACTTTCCTGTGTTAACCTCTGTACCAGACAGTATATAAAGGGGACATTACTTATCTGGGTTATCCTCTGTACCAGGCAGCAGATACAGATGATATAACTTGCCTATGTAATCCTCTGTACCATACAGTAGATACAGGTGACATTACTTACCTGTGTTATATCACTTACCTATGTAATCCTTTGTACCAGACAGTAGATATAGGGGACAATACTTACCTGTGTTATCCTCTGTCCCAGACAGGAGAGAAAGGGGACAATTCTTTCCTGTGTTATCCTCTGTCCCAGACAGCAGATACAAGTGACATTCCTTACCTGTGTTATCCTCTGTGCCAGACAGTAGATAAAGGGACATTACTTATCTGGGTTATCCTCTGTAACAGACAGCTGATACAGGTGATATCACTTACCCGTGTTATCCTCTGTACCAAACAGTAGATACAGGTGACATTACTTACCTGTAATCCTCTGTACCAGACAATACATACAGGGGACATTATTTAACTATGTTATCCTCTGTACCAGGCAGTACCCCCAGGTGATTTTACTAACCTGAGTTATCATCTGTACCAGACAGTAGGTAAAGGTGATATCACTTACCTTTGTAATCCTCTGTACCAGACAGTAGATACAGGTGATATCACTTTCCTGTATTATCCTCTGTACCAGACAGTAGATACAGGTGATTTTACTTACCTGTGTTATCCTCTGTACCAGACAGCAGATACAGATGATATAACTTACCCATGTTATCCTCTGTACCAGACAGTAGATAAAGGGGACAATACTTACCTGTGTTATCCTCTGTACCAGACAGTAGATACAGGTGATTTTACTTACCTGTGTTATCCTGTGTACCAGACAGTAGGAACAGGTGAAATTGCTTACCTGTTCTGTTCCAGACAATAGGTACATGTAATGTTGCTTACCTGTGTTATCCTCTGTACCAGACAGTCATCAGCATATGTTCCTTTGTGCAGGCATGGCAGTCTCTTGAATCTTTCATCTTTTGCAATTCTGTATAATAGAAGAAAACAAAAATCAATAGAACATATATTGTCCTATTCCGTCTTTGCTTATTGCAGAGTTATCTTCTCTTGGAAGCAGGTATTTATTGTTACGTCATTGGTTTGTGTGAGAAAATTACGTTGCTTTCTCAAAAATTGATGACGTTACTCTCACAAACAAGTGACATAACAATCAATACCTGCTCCCACGAGAAGATAACTCTGCAATACGCAAAGACGGAATATGATTTAGGATGGGACAAAGGACCTATTTCAGCAGGTTCCTCTGTCAAACTGTGAAATGACTGACATCTTAGGGAATCAAAACTACACCTGATGGTTATTACAATTTTTCCACATATGGATGCTATTAACAATATCTCATATTTCATGTGATGACTTTGATTTGTTACAGGTAGAAATTAAAATATCAAGCTGTCAATACTTCTACAAATTCAGTACTGTTACAACTTCATCCATCTAACACAGTCCCCTTGTATTGAACATATACTTGTGAGCATCTCAAGTACCTATTGTACCTGAGAAAACAAGAGCCCAAGAGGCTAATTAAGCAAACATGAGAATATTTATTTCTAAATATTGGCTCTGTCTCAGCAACACTAGTCCCTCATTGGGTCCCTTCTTTCTTTCCCCATGAAGTGGGGTGGATTTTAAACATTAACTTCTATTTCCCCTATTGGGCCCCACTTCTCTACCCTGGCGCACACTCTCTGTTTATACAAAATTGAGTTCGCCGAAGAATGCTCTACACAAAATTATTTGTTAAAAAACCTGCAATTTCACTAAGGCAGAAGGATTTTAAAGATTTACCTCAATTGCTCCTATCGTGCCCCCACCCCCAAGTTTATTAAAACAAGAGGCCCAGGGGCCTTAATAGCTCACCTGGTATTTTATTTTTCAATTTAAAACCTGCTGAGTACCATTCAGGTTTATCAAAGGAGTACAAGTAACAAAGTTGCATCTTCCATTTATAAATATTCAATTCCCTTTGCCCAAAGATTCTCTAAAACAAGTTTGGTTAGGTTAAAATCCCTTCAACGGTACAGAAGGAGAAGGATCTTTAATGTTTTCCTCTATTTCCCCTAATGGGCCCCACTAATCTGCCCCAAAGAAGGGGAATCCACACACCTCAGTTTAAACAAAATTGATTCTTTTCTCCCTAAGCATGCTTCAGACTGCATTTGGTTTAAATCCCTTCACTTGTATAGTAGGAGAAAAAAAATCCTCTATTTCCCCTATTGGGCCCCGCTCCTATGCCGCCAGAAGGCCCACACCCTCCGTTTATACAAACTTGAGTCTCCTTTGTCCAAAGATGCTCTAGGACAAATTTGGTCAAAATCCTTCAATTGGTTGAGGAGAAGATTTTTAAAGATTTACCTATTTTCCCCTATTTGGCCCCGTCCCTCTGCCCCCAGGGGGACCATACCCTCCGTTCATACAAAACTGAGAACCCTTTGGCCAATGATGCTCCAGACCAAATTTGGTCAAAATCCCTTCATCGGTACAAAAGGAGAAGGATATTTGATGTTTTCCTCTATTTCCCCTAATGGGCCCCACCCATCTGCCCTTAGAAGGAGGCCCACACACCTCAGTTTATACAAAATTGATTCTTTTGTCCCTAATCATGCTTCAGACTGCATTTGGTTAAAATCCCTTCACTTGTATAGCAGGAGAAAAAAAATCCTCTATTTCCCCTATTGGGCCCCGCCCCTCCGCCCCCAGAGGGGCCACACCCTCCGTTTATACAAACTTGAGTCTTCTTTGTCCAAAGATGCTCTAGGACAAATTTGGTCAAAATCCTTCAATTGGTTGAGAAGAAGAACATTTTTAAAGATTTACCTTTTTTCCCCTTATTTAGCCCCGCCCCTCTGCCCCGAGGGGGGGCTATACCGTCCGTTTATACAAAACTGAGAACCCTTTGGCCAATGATGCTCCTGACCAAGCTTCAGACTGCATTTGGTTTAAATCCCTTCACTTGTATAGTAGGAGAGAAAAAATCCTCTACTTCCCCTATTTGGCCCCGCCCCTCTGCCCCCAAAGAGGCCACACCCTCCGTTTATACAAACTTGAGTCTCCTTTGTCCAAAGATGCTCTAGGACAAATTTGGTCAAAATCCTTCTATTGGTTGAGAAGAAGAAGATTTTTAAAGATTTGCCTATTTTCCCCCTATTTGGCCCCGCCCCTCTGCCCCCTGGGGAGTTATACCCTCCGTTTATACAAAACTGAGAACCCTTTGGCCAGTGATGCTCCTGACCAAATTTAGTCAAAATCCTCTGAGCCATTCAGGACAAGTAGCATTTTAAAGGAAAAAGTTGACGGATGCCAGACGACGGACGCTGCACCATGGGATAAGCTCACTTGGCCCTTCAGGCCAGGTGAGCTAAAAATTGAGCTCCCTCAAATCAAACTGAAGGAGAAGGGTTTATAACATTTATTACTTGTTTTTCCTATTGGGCCTGACCTTCTGCCCTAAGTCAGTAAGTGCGACCACGTCCCCCGTATATACATAAATGAGTCCCCTTTGCCCAAGGATGCTCTGGACCAAATTTGGTCCAAATCCCTCAAATCAAACAAAAAGAGAAGCTTTTTAAAGATTTACCTAAAGTTCCTATATTGGGCCCTGCCCCTCTGCCCTTATGGGGCAGAGGGGCAGGGGGGGACTCAAAATTGAGTCCCCTCTACTAAACAATGCTGTATAGCTTGAAACTCATAGAAGACAAGAGGCCCAAGGGCCTTAGCAGTCACCTGAGTTATATCAAAGGTACTGGTAGCTTTATTTTATTGTTTAGATGTGATGTGGAAATGAACATGTAAACTAATTAGTGAAATACATTACTTGTCATGTCATCAAAGGATAAGAATTTGAAAATATTAGTAAA